GCGCTACCTCTGGTCTACATTGCATGCTGATGTGGCGCTACCTCTGGTCTACATTGCATGCTGATGTGGCGCTACCTCTGGTCTACATTGCATGCCGATGTGGCGCTACCTCTGGTCTACATTGCATGCTGACGTGGTGCTGCCTCTGGTTTACAGTGCATGCTGATGTGGTGCTGCCACTGGTCTTCATTGATGATGTGGCATATGCCACCTATCTCGACTGCTGACATGGCACTGTTCACGCTGTATACATGAGGTGGCTGGTTGCGAGGAGGAAGAAGATCAGGATCTGTGGATGAAGGAGGTCGGTTACTCACCTGAGGTTGACGTCGTCACTGGAATCTGCTATGTCTTCATGGTCTTCACGAGATAAAGTGCCACGTGGCACTATTGTGTGTGATCAGGAATATCCTTATTATCATTGTTGACGTGGAGAGGGAAGAAGCCCGGAGAAGGAGAGGGGGCTGAAGGGATTATTTGTGATCTTCCGTCTTCTCCTTTGTCTTTTTCCCCTCCACTCTCTTCTTGTGATGGTAATGATTGAGTTATCACTTCACGATTTGGAGACTTTGATGCAGATAATGAGACTACTGATATTTGACGACTTCTGAGTGTCTGCCAGACTGGGTTCATTACAATTTGGTATCGGAGCAAACTTCTTCATCGCAATCTGTTGTTTGTTGTCAGGTGCTGACGTGGCACCCAGGTAAGTGGGAAGTGCCGGCATGTGCAAAATGAAACACGTTTATTAACGCGCGCGGTCATACCGCAAGTCTAGACATGGTAGTATTGCACGTGCGAGCAGCTGTCCCTTGAAGATGATGATGAGGCTGCATTGAAGACCTACACTGGAGAGAGCTTCGTTGGCAACAGGATGACGTGGCGCTGGTACTACTGATGTGGCATGTGGTGGAATGCAGAGCATGGTCTGATGTGGCACGTGCCTGTGTCATTGTTGCCTGATTAGGATGACGTGGCGCTGGTACTACTGATGTGGCATGTGGTGGAATGCAGAGCATGGTCTGGTGTGGCACGTGCCTGTGTCGTTGTTGTCTGTTGATGCTGCATTTAACGTGGCATACCAGTGATTGAGTGTGTAGCAGACCTGCATTGCAACGTGGCATCCCTTCTTGTAGACTGTTTCGGTCCTTGATGCTGACGTGGCAGTACTGCTGCGTTGGCATGCCAGGGGTGACATGTGGCATGTACACAGGCTGCTGAGAGTGTAAGTGTGCACTTGTTGTTGATGATTGCATTGCTTCTGCAGATGGTAGGAAAGAGGCTAACCATTGATTGTGTGGTTGTGTTGGTTCTCTACTTACCTCTTGATTGTTTGTGGTTGCTGCGTGTACATACAAGTGTGCTGTTGTCTTGATCACACTGGTCGTGGCTGCGGTACCTGTAGTTGTAGGAAGTCATCACACAGAAAACAGACAACAAAGTTAGGATAGAAAAAAAAGTCGTGTGTGCTGTGGAATTTATTTTTGTCTTTTGATTTTATTTATTGTGCAGCATCTACACGTTTAGGAAAATGAACTCTCTCTAGAAATGTTTGTGTGCCTCCGTCCTGACGCGGTTCATTCCACTTCTCTTCTTCCCTATCCCTCTCATTGTCTACGCTGATGCCGAAGGGGGAGAATTGAAAACTCGTGGGCAGATTGACGCAAGAAGGCAAACACTAAAAGGCCTTCTTCGTCAATTGCTTGGTGAGATACATGGTGCGGGTCCAGCAGTTGAACAACACGTCCATGGACAATTCAAGCTGCGAGCTGCAGAGAATGAACTTGAGTCCGCTGAAACTGCTGTTGAGATGATGGAAACCGGTCAAAGGGTCGAGGACCTCATAAAACAAGGGCGGCTAGCCCTTCATCAGTATGTCGCCGAGCAAATGGATAAGATGGGCAGAAAAGAAGAGAAGGAGGAAAGAGAGGAAAAAAGGAATTGTCTGTAGAGATAATGGAGGAGAACATCAAACAATTAGAACAATCTCTCGCAGACGAAAGACGGAAGATTGAAGAATCCCAGAGGAGGAAAGAAGAAAAAGAACAACATGAAACGATGTTGGAAGAAATGAGAGAACGATTTCACTTCGAGGAAGTTGAGACTGATCTGTCATCTGTATTGCAGTCTATCATCGCTTATCTTGTTCATCTTGAGAAAAAGATAGACACTAACACTGTTTCGTTAGAAACTATGATGGGAAAGATGAAAGGTAAGGACAAGGTGAGTTTTGAGAAGGAGATGAAGGGGGAAGTAAAAAGAAAACCACCCCAAGAAAAACTCATGAAAGATGCGATACGGACAGTTATATCAGACAAACCTGGACCTTCAAAGAAAGAATCTGGGGGACCGGGAGGGAAGAAGGAAGTACCCGCCAAAAAGGAAGAAACGGTCAAAGAGGTAGAGAAACCAAAGAAGAAAGAAAAGGTTAAGATGGAACTTCCTTTTACCTACAATGGAAAGAGGGGCGAACACTTGTTGTTATGGATCGCTGAGATCCAGACATACTGTGGGATTGCACCGGTAGAGTCGGAAAGCCCAGTGGCTTTTTTGACTTCTTGTCTTGGCGAACAGCCAAAGCATGGGTATTGTCTGAGGCCAACGTTGCTGGGTTCGAGGACATCGGTAAGTGGGCAAAGACCCAGACTCTTCGATAATTTCTCCAGAAGATCAAGGAGAGATTCTTGGATAAGACGGCGGCCGACAAGGCTTTCGATAAGCTCACCACCATAGAGCAGAAATGTTGGACCTCTGTAGATGCGTTATCTCGTAAAGTTGATCGGTTGTTGCAGGTACCTGGATTGAACCTGCACGACAACCAAGTTCTTTACATCTTCTCGCGAGCTTTGCGTAAACCCATTCGAGGATATCTTGTAGCTGAGGCCAAATCCGGTAAGTATAACTACCGACAGTTCCGTGACCTCGCGCTCCAAAGGGAGCAAATGACTGCACAAGTAAAAGGGACCTATGCATCCGTGGTTAAGACAGGACCAGTTGGTGGGTACGGGAAGCGGGTCCTTTTGCGGCAAAAGCGCCAATACCACATGCTTGTGGTATTTGACGATGAGACTGTAGAGAAGATACCCCTCGACGAGTCTGAGGGAGGAGTAGCTAGTGGTGGCAGTGAGTCTAGGAAGGGTGACGTCACTGCCGTAATGGCCAACAAGGGAGGCTAGACCTAATGGAAGAAGAAGAAGAGGCCACGCTCGTTTCCTGAGCATCCTTGCATTGCGTTCGGAAGACCTTGGGAAAAGATGAACATGACTCGGTGTCGAGCGCATCGGTCCCGCACGGGGACCCTTCCGGCCGCGTCACGCAGGATTTGGCAGGACTTGCCGCGAAGAGCGTTTGCCGCTCCGGCCGAGTGCGCCAATTGTACCTCTCCCGAGCCCCTACGACAGGACAGGGTCACGCGAGGCACCCCTTACCTCCACCTGCGGGAGCTGTCACCATCCCTTAGGTGGGCGTATCCCCGCCGAACTACTGAACCACATGCGAAGGCTTTTCGTATGCAATTGCAGAGGTGGCCCAGCCGAGGGCGTTTCTCGTTCGCTGTAGCATAGGGGGTACGCGCGGTCAATGCCCAAAATCGAACCCGTACGCGAATCGACGCACTGGGGGGCTGAGGTCCCAAGCGCGACTCGACGTCGGTCGACTAGGACGCATCACACACACCACGCGTTACACCACAACACTCTCACACACGGAAGGCCACAAAACAACTAACACAACGACACAACACCACAACACCACAACTACACAACAACACTCCTAGTCCCTTCAGTATCCGACCCATAACTTTCTGATGCAAAAATCGGATAAGCGTCGCGAGCGAGGCTTAGTATAAAACTGCGCAGACGCAGGGCTGACTCATATCGATCCGCAATGCGAGCGCAAGCAAGCGGTCGCAATGATGGCGTACTATGTAGTACCCATGCTCACGCGATCCTCGATAATCTCGAGGGTCGCGTTCAACACTCAAGTGTCGGCTGACACGCGCCTTGAGGGTCTCTCTCACGACGTTGGACAGCCGCCATACGCGGTTGAAGACCACACCCTCTTCTGCACCCTGTGCAGAGGGGTTGAGTAGACAGCTCCAAGCTGTCGTGGCGGTCAGAGATCAAGGGGTTTGACTTTGACGGTTGCCACGGACTACAACGTCCAACCATACTAATTCTAAAAAGCAAAAAGCTAAAAAGGGATCTCTTTTTTCTCTCGATGCAGGACTTATTTAATCACTGTGCGCGACCTCAATGGGTCGTGCAGACACAAGAAAATATGATATAAAAGTTATGAGATAGGAGACGATCACTCTCACAATCACAGTGCGACTTCCTTCAAAAGTATGTATATAATCTTTGACAAAATCAAGTCTGGATTCAACTCACAAAACATACCTGCAATCACATCAAAGATCCACATCAACAGAACACACACTACACGGGGTCAACTTCAACTATTCTCTGCGCTCACACCCCTTGCTTTAGCCATACAAACCCCACCCTTTGTGCAACTCTCAAAATAAAATACTCAGCATCTTTATTAAATGGCCATTCAATTAAAGCCCGGGTAAAAACACAACAAAACAAATCAAACCACAGGGCTAAAGTCTTTAGGTTGAGTAGCAGGAGTGGATTAGAGTTGAGTCGAAAACTGACCTGTTATCAAAAGATAACAGAAGATGGTCCTCGTATGATCAGCTTGAAGCTAGTCAAACCTTGAATCAATCTGAGTAAAGGTGACCTGCAATGCAGCACAGGCCAGTACTCAAGCCATGCTTGAGTGATCAAGGAATAATCCTACCTTTCTAACTAACCTCTGATGTTTATCTAAAAATGTAAGAAATTATGGCAGCATATCCCCTAAACAGGATGGATTGCCAGATTTCTCCTAGCTGAAAATAATCTAACCCTCCAAATTCTACAAAATTTTGGCAGCGCTTCCCGTAGGAAAAGTGCCTTTCCAGAATTTCTACGAGTCCAAAAATAACTAACTCTTTCAGATTTGAAGAAATTTCGGCAGCGCTTCCGTAGGAACAAGGCTGTCAAGATTTATACAAAGCTGAAAACAGAAAGACAAAACAAAGTTATACTTGGGACTAACTTCTGACACTTGCTTTGATAGTTAGGATTGAAAATAGTTTACACGATCCCCTTTCAGAAGATGGTATCGTGAGCTATCGTCAACTATAACTTCAAGTAAGGTCAGTCCTATCTTTATCCCAATCTCTCCCTCCCATCATCCATCTCATCTACCTATGGCTCCAGCACTTGGCGAGCCTCTAAGCAACTTACCTATCGAAAAGACGTCCAAGAGTGAGAGCCCATAAGCATGCATAGACAAACATCTCTCACAATCCCACATCGATTTAGGCCGAGTAGTTCGTTA